TCCAACCTGCCCTTCAACACTGCCAGGGATGGGGCAGCCACAGCTTCTCTGGGCAACCTGGGCCAGGGTCTCAGTGTCCTCACACTCAAGAATTTCCTCCTAGTGTCTAATTTAAATCTCCCCTCTTCCAGTTTTAATCTATTCCCCCTGCTCCCCTCCCTTCCTTCCCCTTGTCCCAGGTTCCTCCCCAGCTTTCCTGGAGCCCCTTCAGGCACTGGAAGCTGCTCTAAGGTCTCCCTGGAGCCTTCTCTTCTCCAGGCTGAACACCCCAACTCTCCCAGCCTGGCTCCAGAGCAGAGCTGCTCCAGCCCTGGGATCATCATTGTGTGTTCAACAGCTCCATGTCCTTCTTGTGCTGGACACCCCAGAACTGGACAAAATCCTCCAGGTGGGGTCTCATGAGAGAGAGAAGAGAAGGAGAATTGTCTTTCCCTTGCCCCGAGGGCCACCTGCTGCTGCTGCAGCCCAGGAAGGGGCCTAGAACATTGTGACACTACCCAGGGAGGGCAGTGAAGCTGGACACTCACCTGTCTCGTTGGAGAAGCAGGTTTTATGGAACTTGCCCATGTAGAACTCCAGCCCAATGATGGCAAACATCACGATGGCGAAGAAGAGGAGCAGCCCGATCTGAAGCAAGGGCACCATGGCCTTCATGATGGACTTGAGGACAACCTGCAGGCCTGTGAGGACACAGAAACAGCACATCAGCAATGGGGGAAGGAAGCCAAGGGCTTGGGGTGGGGGCAAGGCAGGAGAGAAGGGTAAGGGCAAGTTTAGCCTGGTAGTACCAAGCAATGTTGGTTCTCTCAGGATGCTCTGGGAAAGATGCTACAGCCATAATACACCCAAGGTACCAGAGAGACAATCAGGTGAGTTATCTGCTTCTGGCTCCTTTTCTTCAGAACACAGATTGAAAGGTCTCTTAAGCTTCAGAGATACACAAAAAAAAGGACATTTCTTGAAGCCAGAGGAGTCCTGAGCCTCAGCTGGGAGCTGGGCCAGGTCCTTCACCTTCAGCCCAGCCCTGCAGCAGAGCTGGACACTGCCATGGTCACCCCTGAGCTGTGCAGGAGCTGCTTCTCCCTCCATGAGACACAGAATAGTTGTGATGCTGCTGTGCTGATCACACCCTGCTCCTGGAGAAACAAAGCCCTGTCTCCAGGGCTGCCCATCCAGAGCTTTGTCACTGGCACAAAACCTCATTTTCAATGAAAACCAGGGGAGAGATAAAGAGGGAGAGGCTGGAGAGATGGAGGTGCCAGGTACCATCATCCAGACACATCACAAACACATTCCAGTGATAAGCAGCAGCTGAAATCCACCCTGATGGCCTGACCTAAGGTATGGAGAGTGAAGGGCTGTCCTTGTCTTGCCACCTTGCAGGGCACTGCTGAGGTCAACATGGGGGCATGCAGGGAAAAAGCAGGAAGATCTGTAGGATGGGAAAAATACTGAGAGTGTAGAAGAAAACCAGGTGTATGACTGCACCTCAAGGCTGTACCTTAGGGCAGGAAAAAAAAGCTTTCACAGCAGCACCAACACCAGGAGAGCAAATGTTACTCTGGGGAAAGACTGTGCTGGTCCAGGACAGACCACAAAGGAAGAGGAACACCCCTAAGGGGTCACCTTACTTCCCTGCCATCCTCAGACTGTCAGTCCCACACCACCACACTGTTTTGCCCAGACAAGACACTCATGAAAAACCAGCCAGCAACATCTGCCTAGAGATCTTGCCAATAAATGCCACCTCTCCCAAGCCTGGCCAGGGACCTCTCCTGCATGGGAACTCAGCTCCAAGCCCTGCCCATGAAAGGGTGCTGATTTCAGGAAAAGTTGGTGCTGATATTGCAGAGCACAACCATAACCCCTGTCTGGTTTTGTGCAGCCCAGCCATTTCAGCCCTGGAGCAGGCAGGGAGGAAGCTGAGCTGACGAGGAGATGAAGCTGCCTGGCTGCCAAGGGGTTAGCAGAGAAGAGCAGAGCACCCCACAGGGCACCAGTTTCCTTTCACTGGCTCTTGCTGGAAGGAGAAAAATATAAGATCTCAGTTCCATGTTCAGGAATGAAATCCACTCCTGAGAATGATCCCCTGCTGGTGGGGAGAGCAGCTGGTGGGGAGTGACAAGTAAAAAGGTAGTAAGGAGCAGAGTGGGGACTTTAATGGCTTCAGGGCACCTGCAAGGCAGGATGAAGCCCCTCACTGGTGCACTTGGACCCTTCACCTCTGTATCAAGTTGCCCACTGAGCAAGAACAAACCTGACCTGCTCTTTTCCCTTTGTTTTTTTCCCCCTTATTGAATGGGTGAAGCCTGAAGGCCCCAGAGCAAGATGCTCAGCTGGTAAAAACTGTCAAAAGATCCAAGTTCAGGGCTGGGAGCCTGGAAGCTGCAAAATCTGTGCCTCAGGTCTTCAACACTCCTGAGAATTTAATTCAATCCCAAAGGCAGAGGAGTCCTAGGACAAACCCCTGAGGCTCAGCTGCAGGTTTGGGAGCTGAAATCAGCTCCTGCACAAACACAGGGTGGCAGGAAGCCAGAACCAAGCAAGACCAGGAGGAAAGGGAGCAGAACATTGCTCAAAAAAGCATGTAATGCCCCAAAAGCTACAGAGCACCTTGGGCTGTGAAGATCACGGAGTCACAGCCTGGTTTGGTTGGAAAGGACCTTAAAGTTCATCTGGTTCCATGGGCAGGGTTGCCCTCCCACTAGACCAGGTTGCTCAGAGCCTTGAACACTTCCAGGGTGACACTTCCAGGTGAACACTTCCCAGATGATGACACTCCCATGATCATGACACTCACTTGGGATTCCTGACACCAGCTTGAGGGGTCTCAGCACCCGCACAGCTCGGAGGGTCCGCAGGTCAAAGTCAGTCCCAGCAGTTGCCAGAATCCTGAGGGCAAAAAGGGGAGAGAGGAGGAAAATTGGAGATTAAATGCAAATCCCTCTGTGCAAACCATGGGTAAGCATTGTGTCAACCCAGCAAGTATTCAAGCTGCTTTAACCTTTTTACCTGCAAACAAACTGGGTCCACTGGAAACCACCAACTCACACCCCCCAGCCCTGGGGAGCCTTGCTCAGAAAATCTGCAGCCTTTGCTGCTTTGGAGACCAGTTACACCCAGTGAGCAGGGCCTGGCTCTGGGTGTTACAGACCAGAAGGGAACAAACCCCTCAGCCATGCCAGAAATTACCTGCCAGAACTTTTCCCTATAATAAATTCAGAAATCAATCAAGTACAGACATCAGGTGTTTCCTAATATCTGAAGCAGTTTCTAGGGATGTAGTTTGCTCTCTGTGTGTGCAAAGTTAATTTGTGGTCAGAGTATCTTATTTGAGGAGCTACCCAGGCAGTGGGGTGCAGGATTTCCTGATGAGCTGCAGTAACACTGATAAGAAACAGCCTGCAGACCAGAATCAAGCTTCAAAATGAGACAGGACTCCCCTAACACAAGCCAACCATGCAGTTAGTCCAGAGCAAAAACCCTCTCTCCTCAGCTCCCCTTTGACTGCACCATTTAGCCATCAAATCATTTTGGTTGGAAAAGACCTTTAAGATCATCCAGTCCAACCCTTCCCTCAGCCCTGCCCAGGCCACCCCTGCCCCGTGTCCCTCAGCACCATCTCCAGGGCTTGGAAACCCCTCCAGGGATGGGGACTCCACCTGGGCAGCCTGGGCAGGGCCTGACAGCCCTTTTGGGGAAGGAATTGTTCCTAATCTCCTCTTTTCCCATCACTTGTTCCTTGGGAGAAGAGATTTCAAGTTATTAGAAGCAATTGCCATTGGTTTTTGCCAGGTTTGTCCCCAGGCTGCCCTACCAAGGTGGAAGTGGTTGAGCAACCAGCCCAGCAGTGGGGTCTTCAAGCCCCCAGCCCCAACCTCCTGGGACCAGCTGCATAAGATGCCACCACTCTGCTCACTACAACTGCTGGAAGTGCTGCCACAGGGATCCAGCCTCGTCCATCATCTGACACTTTGCCAACCCTTCCTCAGGAGCTACAGCTGCAAGAGGGACTTGCAAACCTGGCTGAAAAAGTGGGATTGCAGGGCTGGCACAGGACACAGGCAGAGCTGGAGGGACATTGCCAGACTTGGGCAATGAATCCCAAGCAGTGCCCCGGGGTCTGAGCACCCAGACACACCAAGTGTCCTGGGCTGGAGCTCAGAGATGCTCAGCAAGGTGCAGAAGACCCACACTGTGCACCCATGATTTATGTGCACCTGCCAGGAGCCCTCATTGTTCCTGACAGCAGGTGCTGAGCACTCAGCACAGAGCCTGGCTGCTGGCACAGGCACCACAGAAAGCCCAGGTTTTCACAGCAGGACACACAGCCCTTCCCCAGGCACCAGGCAGGAGATGCCTGGCAAGCTCAGCTGCAGGGGCTGGGGCTGTGTCAGGAGCACCCCCAGCACAGCCACCCCAGCTCCCACCCCTGCCCCAGACTCACTGACTTTGTGCTGCTGCCAAGCACAGCTCAGGGAAGAGCAGGATCAGCATCACTGGGTGGAAAGGGGCAGACTCCAGCAGCAGGAGGAGCTGGAAGCAGGAAAAACCCTGCTGAGATGTTGGAAGGCAGGAGAGGCAGCAGCAAACCAGGGCCCAAGGAGCAGAGTGTCTATCCTATAGAACACCTGTTCCTACATTTCCATAACCAGAAAAATCCACATTACATCAGCTCCATTGGTGCAACACGAGCAGAAGCAACAGGAGACAAGTCAAACCAAGAACCACCACATGCAGAGGCTTCTAATTAAATCTTCCACATCCGTGCCGATGGTTTCATTCCTCTTCTCCCTTCCCTCCACCCTCACAACTTAATTGCTCACTTATAAACCTCTGCAGCCTGGGAACAGCACACACTTCAAGTCAAAAGATAACCTGAAACATCCACCTTGGATGTTTAAGGTGCTCCAAAACCAGCACCTTTTGTCTCCAGTGAGCTGAGGGAGATTCTTGCTGCCATTAGGTAGAGCCCTGGTTCCTGGGACATGCTGGGAGGAGGGTGCTTGATCTGCTCATCACTTTGCTTCTAAATTCAAAAAGAAAATGGGAGGGAATGAGGGACACCACCAATAAGACCCACGTTGCCAGGAAATGTTCCAGTGTCTTCGTGCCAGTCTTGTCTTCCTGATGGGCTTGATGCTAAAACCAGCCTGCTCAAACTCTGGCAGCACCACCCCCCAAATCAAAACCCCTAATCATTCCTTGATTCCCACATCACAAGCACTGGGATCCCCCAGGTACCCTGCACAGGGTTCCCCCAACAGCAACCACCTCCAGTGGCTTGAGAGCTGGTCCATGGATCCTGCAAAGCATCCAGGCCTGTGCAGCTGTCCTGGCACTGCTCCAGCTGCCCAGGAACCAACCACTCCTGAAAACCAACCCAACCCTGTCCTGGTCCTGCTAGAGAGGAAAAAAAAAATTACACAGGAACTTCCTAAACACCATCCTTTTGGTGGCAGAAATGGAAGATCAAGGGAGATGAGGTGGTAGCTCTAGGTCTAAAAATCCACATTGGAGCCTTGGAGGTGAATGAGATGGGAGGTGAGAGAACCCAGGGGGACACTGATCATGTCTCCTGCACTAGTGGAAGTGGAGAGGGCTGGATGCTGCAGCTTTATCCCACCCTGTGTTCACAGCCCTGGCTCTGCCCCCCAGGCAGCCTGTGCAAAGGGTGGAACAGGGAGACAGGGACCCCAAGGCTTTCAGAGGAGCTGTGGGGTCAACAGCCACACCAGGAGCCCTGGCACGTGCTGCCTTTGCTTCCTATAAAACCAAAGCTCATTTGCAGCTGCTCAGCTCTCCTCTGCCCTAAACCCTTCACAGACACACATGGAAAAATGTCCCCCTGAGGGAAAGGCCTTAACTTCACAGCATTTGCCTGAGTGTCATCTTCCTGGTTTATCATTTTCCCCTACTCAGCTGAAATCTCACAACTGGGCACCCAAAGTTAGGCCAGAACAAGTCAGAAATTATCATTAAAAAGAAGATAAAGGAGATATCAAAGGAGCCAAGTGACAAACACATCCTGCTAATCCTGCCAAAGCTTCTCTGGCTGCCCAGGAACAGCTGGGAACAAAGCAGAGGGGACACAGGAGGGGAAATGCACTGTGCAAGGTACAGAAAAATAGCAGAAGGTGATTTTAGAAGATTTATTCACAAAGAATAAACGGCTTGACCTGCAGCCCTTTTGTATCTTAACAGGTTGTACAGAAACACTGAGGTCTGATTGGCTTAGGATGTTTTCTTCCATAGAACTTCAACACTTGAAGTGTCTTCATGAAATACATTTTTCTGTATAATTTGCCTTTTTCATGGCTAGGATGGTCAACCATCTAACCCTTCTTGCTCATGGGCTCTATCACCAGCTCCTCTGACCAGCTCTGACCTCTGTTCCCAGAGACAGAGCCCACATTGGTGATAAATGCTCCATCACTTCAAGCAAAGCTTGAAACAAGCTATAAAAGCAGCTTATTCCTTTGGGTAACAAAAGCAGGCAAAGAATGAAAGGAAAGTTCCTTTCCTGAACATTAACATCAATAATTAGCACTCCACTTCCTGAGGTCCCTCAGAGCTCAGGGGGCTACAATTTTCAGAGCCACTCAACAACAAATCTCCTTTCTGAAGGCCTGAGCTGAGAAACTGCCTCCAAACTCCTCCAAGCTCAGCCCCAGATCCCTAAACCCTGAGGACTGAAGAAGGGAAAAGCCAGCCCTGCTCCTGAGGCCCAACCCTACCTTCTCCTCCCTTCAGGGCTTTTTCAGTGGATTTAATTCAGCTTTTCCAGGTGATCTCTTAGGGAGCAGGTGACAAAGGTGCTTTGCATCTCCCCCCAGGCAGGACAAGGAACAGAAACACAGGAAAGGTCCCACCTGGGAGCCCTGAATAGATGATCAAAAACAAGGGGTTTCCATCCATGTCTCTGCTTATAGGAGCAACCACACCCAGGCAGCCCCAGCACAGGCAGATCTGCAGGGGATGGAGAGTGTCCTCCTGGCCTCACTGGCCATAAATCCCCCCAGAGGGGACAGGAGATGTGCAGGAGGGAGCTGGGACTGGCTGCAGGTCCAGCAGCTCCGTGTCTGCTGCAGAGCAGATAACACAGCAGCTAAAAGCAGCAAGATGAGTAACTGAGAAGGATTAACACCTCCAAGGGACCTCACCACTTGATAACCCTGGTGCCAGGGTAGGTTCTGCTGGAGGAGGAATCACTGCCAGGCATTTTTAATGCAACCTTTCTAGTTAGGATCAACTCCAGTCCTAGAAAGTAAAGTGGAAACAGGGATTTTAATTTATTTATTTTCACAAACCTGATCCCAAAAAGCCTAAGAACCAGATCCAGCTCTTCAGCAGGATTAGGAGAAAGGCCAAATACCCACCAGCTGCCCTCAAAAAAGAAGGAGAACACCAGGCAGCAGCACAGCAGCTGGCCTAGGAAAGGAACACCCCCCAGCACTCCTGGCCCACAGATCCAGCCCCCACTTCATGCAGCCACCTTGGCAGCATTGACCCCAAAACCTCTGACAAAAGCAGGGACACAGAAAACTCCAGGAAATCCCCCCCAATTCCCAGAGCCTGACTTTGGACAGAAGCTCCTGGTGTCCCCAGAGTCCTCCAGGAAACAGGAAAATGAAATATCTTCATAAATATTGGCTTCATAAATCTTAAAAAAAACTGGTTTAAAGATGTTTCCATCTGAGGGTGGTTGCCTGGGCTGGTCATGGACTCTCTGTCCCTCATCCACACACTCCTTCCCAACTCCTCCTCCACTTCCTAGAGATGGAGAAGGTTCCCAACCCCACAGGAGTTGTCACCACCACCAAGAGACCTGTCACGGTGTTCATGGGGGCTAGAAAACCCAGGGGAGAACCTGCAAGGCTGTTCTTGGGAGT